GATTGGCCCTGAGCTAACATCTGTTCTCAATCTTCTTTTTGCTTGAGGAAGATTGTCGCTGAGCTAACATCTGTGCCAGTCTTCCTCGATTTTATGCGGGATGCCACCACAGGATGGGTTGACGAGCAGCGCTAGGTCTGCCCCTGGGATCTCAACCTACAAACCCCAGGAGGCCGAAGCAGAGGGTTCAAACTTAACCGATATGCCACAGGGCTGGCAACAGGGACTTTGCCTATCTTCTGTTAGTGTATCCCCAGTGATTGACAGACAAAAAGCTCTCAATAAGCATTGTCTGAACAATAATTGAGTGAATGACGGACAGCAAAGAGAAACAGTATACAGGATACCACCCCCCTCCCCCAACACACACGTATAATAGAAACAGCATGAATAAGCGAAGGATCATGGTCTGGTAAAAGACATGTTGGCTAGGAATCAGATTGTGCTGGTTTTTAAACCCATTTCTGTCACTTCCCAGCTGTGAGACCGCATCCCAAATCCAATTTGTTAGAGTAGCTATCTTTCCTTCTCTGACTTCACAGCCTTGGTCTCAAATTCCTCGTTTCTAAAACTGGGATAATAGCACAACCAGAAGGACCTACAACTAGAATCTACAACTATGTAGCAGGGGGCTCTGGGGAGAAGACGAAGAAAAGCAAAGAAAGATTGGCAAGAGATGTTAGCTCAGGTTTTAAAAATAAAGTAAAATAAAACTGGGATAATATAGTCTGCCCTATTTAACTTTAATATTTTGGAAAACATGTTGAAAGTTTGTATACTGTTATGTAGGTAAAGTACTACACAAATATAAAAATATTGACCCATATCATCAATGTGGAGATATTTGCATCCAAATTTTATATCTAATGTCTATTGGCAATTATCAAACAAATGACTTTGATCTTTCAGTTGCATTTGTTGCAAAATATTATTTTCTATTGCTACTGGTCAGAAGCAAAAAAAAAAAAAAAAAAAAAGACCATGGTAAAGCTACATCCTTTCATTACCAGGGTGAATATAAGATATTAGGCTGAGTCTGTGTCAAACATACTGGTGAAAACACATGCCCTTTTCATTTACTCAGAGGGACTAATGGCTTTAATAAAAGCAGAATATATCATTTAAGAGGAATAGAAAATTAGCCTTCACAAGAAGTAAGCTCAGAATTCTTATGAATGAGTTAGCTAATTCCCACTGTGGACATTGAGTGTTTGGTCTTTCGTTTGACATCCTAATGAGAATTCAGTAACAGCTGGAGACACAGGAGTGGCTGAAGTCAGTGGGGGTGTCTGGGAAGGGCTTAGGTTAGGATAATGTTGTTGTATCAATGGTTTTAGACAAGACACAGTGGTGCCGAGCAAAAAATGTGAATTGAAAAGAAAAGCCACATTCATATTTCTTGTACTTTAGGCAAAGTTTATGGCTTGTTATGGGATGTTGGACCATATGGAAGGTGTCATGGGGAAAATATGCTGGGATGTTTTTGGTATAAGCATATCAAGCATTTTTTAATGCAAAATTATTTATTGAGTACCTACTGTGTGTCCGAGCATTTATGTGGGAAAACAATTTATATGGGAAAACAGGCAGGAGAAGGTAAATGGGCATGAAAAATGAATCAAAAGTTGGAATGAACATACTGTGCTCCCACAGTGAGCAAAACAGTCAGACCAGAAGGGACCATCAGAGAAAGGGAAGAAAGAACAAGAAGAAAATATTCCTTCCTTGTTTTTGTATAGAACTTTACAGTAAAACAAACATGCAAACAAAAACCCAAAACGAAACACATGCACAACTCTCAACACACTTCACATTCATCATCCACAAAACAAAAAAAAACCCCAGAAACGTCACTGAGGTCAGCAGTGTGGGCACATTCCCCAGAGAGTAAGTGAGCCTACCCAAGTTCACACAGCTGGAGAGTAGTGTTGCTGTGTGTACCCTGGGCCTTGTGATTACTCTCCCAGAGCATTTTCATCTGCATAGAACTCAAAAGGTGGGTTGAGACACAATGCTGAGGCCTTCCCACCCCAGGCTAAGGAAACTGGTCTTTATTCTGGAAGGAAAATAAGTAGACGGTGTACTTAACTTGGTAAGAAAGGAAGAAAGTAGAATCTACCACAAACCACCAACAAATCATCTTGATGTTGATGTTGACCACGGGCAAGGCTCTAGAGAGAACGTTTTTCTTTAATGAATTTTATTTGTTTATTTTTTTGGTGAGGAGATTGGCCCTGAGCTAACATCTGTTGCCAATCTTCCTCTCTCTCTTTTTTTTTCCTGCCCCAAAGCCCCAGTACATAGTTGTGTATCCTAGTTGTACGTCATTCTGGTTCTTCTATGTGGGATGCCACCACAGCATGGCTTGATGAGCAGTGCATACGTCTGCATCCAGGATTTGAACCAGTGAGCCCCAGGCTGCCAAAGTGGAGGGAGCCCCTAGAGAGGACTTTTTTTTGTTTTTGCTGAGGAAGATTTGCCCTGAGCTAACATCTGTGCTAATCTTCCTCTATTTCATATGTGGGATGCCACCACAGCACAGCTGCCAACGAGTGGTGTAGGTCCACACCCAGGAACTGAACCCTGGGCTGCCAAAGCGGAGTGCACTGGACTTAACCACTAGGCCATGGGGCCAGCTGCTCTAGAGAGAACTTCTTAAAGGCTGGTTTTTGAGTACTTGGAGGAATGCTTGCCAGCACCAACACACCCACAAGCCACCATGTTGGAATAACTCGTTTCCTTCTCTGACTGGTGTATGATAGAAAACTAGTTTGTACTTCAGTGAGATACTTGCTTCAGATACCTCTCTGGAGAAAATGGACAATTATAGAATGGGTGGCAGATTAATTTGCATTGAATTTTAAAGTTAAAGGGGATTTTAGAACTCATTTAGCCCTGCTCTATCATTTTACAAATGAGAAAAAGGAAACAAGGGGTAACGTGACTTGCTTAAGTTATATCGTCGTCATCATCATAAAAATAGCTTACACATATTGAGAATTTACTATGTATCTGGCATATTCTAAGTGATTAACATGCACTGATTCATTTAATCCTCACAACGAACATATGTGGTAACCGAGGCCCAGGGAGATTCAGTAACTTGCCAATATCGTGAAGCTGGAAGCAATGGAAGTGGGATTTGTACCCAGCAAAGCTGGCTCCTGAGTTGGTGCTGTCTCTACAGATACAGCCTCTCCAGGCCACATCACTAGTAAATGGCAGAGCAAAGTGTCCATGGCACTAATGAATGGAGTTTCTGGTGGTATTTGTAAGACATTGTCTTTGCTACGTCCTTTTCAACATTTTTTATCAATGAATTGGATAAAATATGGAAAGCGGGTCATCAGATCTTCAGAAATTATGAAATGGGGAGAGCAATAGGAAATACGCTGGACGAAAGGAGCAGAATCCCATAAGATCTGGGATGATGAACGAATCCAAATGTTTTTATTTCAGAGGAATATAGGAAGGTATTGCATCTTGGCCCCCTAACCAATCGCCCAAGAATGGGATGGAGAATGTGTATAAAAGAGAACACAATTTGAGGAGGGGAGGATTTGTCAAGTTAGTTCCGCATGAATGAACATGTGGGGCTGCCCAGAAGCTAATGCAAGTAAGCAAACGGTCCTCCTGTGTTCTGCACTGCCCATGTCCACAATGGTTCTCCAATGATGCTCTGAGCCAGCAACTACCCCAGGGAGCTCCAGGCACTGCAAGGCTCTTCACAGTGATGGGTCTTTCTTCCTCCTTCCTGACTTGTTTTTGCACTGACCCCCATCTTGGTCCCTTCCCCCCTTGTTCTTAGTTTTCGTTCTGGATTCTCTGAGCATTTGGATCTTGATTTTTTTCCCATGGGGCCCTGATTTGACTTACCTCTCTGGCTCTCTCTGTGCCAAGCTGCATCAGGAGAAAACTTCCCATCCTTGTTCCAGCTCCTCAGAGCTCAGCCCATGACACTGACTCCTGATGTGGGGGTGACAGCACCCAAATTACCCTGCCAACACATACGTCATGAGACGATTTGGCCAGATCTGGAACAGTGCATCCAAGTCTGGCCAACCTCCTTCCCCATCATGAGGGTATCTGTGTAAACTGAAGTAGTTTCATAGGAAAAGGATAGGTTGTGAATAGACTTGAACTGTTGGTGATACGTGGAATGAATGAAAGAGGCAAGAATGCTTAGAGGTGGTTGAGGATGGGCATGGGAGATTTGTCCCTGAATTTGCGGAAGATCCCACGGTGCATGACCTCACAGGCTTCTCTTGTGCAGCTCCAGGGAGCAGCCTAGAGCCTGGGGGCAGAAGCTGCAGACAGGAGGCAGATGTCAGCTCAATAAAAACGTTCCTCGTGATAAGAGCTGTCCAGAAAGGGAATGGGATAGTAGTGAGCTCCCCATTATTGGAGGTGTTCAAGTATAGGCTGAGCAGTGGCTTGTGGGAATATATAATAGACTCAAACATCAAAGGGGTACTTAGACTCTTTGATCTGTGGGTTGGTTCCACCCAAGAAAGTCTCTAGTCAGTGAGGACTTAGAGGTGCTTTTTGAACAGGTGGCACAATGACAGTGGTATATAAGGAGAATTCATCCCTCCAGTGAAACATCAGAGAACGACCATTGTGTTGAGCCAACAGGTCCTTCCTACCTGTCTGTCTTCTGTGTGAGCCAGCTGAGCTTCCATTGTTAGAACACAAATACTTCCAGCCACCAAAGCCGAGAGGCCTACCCCAAATCTAAGGGCTGCTCTCTTTTAGTTTTCCATGGCTGGGGATGGAGTCTCACACTTTTCCCATCTCGTGCTTATGAAAGAGCTCTATTCTCTCTTGGCCCCCGCCCCCCACCTCCTTTCGCAGATCAAATACCAAGCGCATTGGATAGATGGAAGTCGGAGAGAAAACGCATTTTAATAAAACCCCATTGATTGGGGTGCGTGCAAGTCGAGGAAAAGGTACCTAAAGAGTCTTCTGCCCCCTGCCACCTCCCCCGACTCTCCTGACCTGCTCTGGGGCGGTCACACATCGATTGGCTTCCTAGATAATAGATCCTGCCACCGGTAGGGACCCCTGGGGAGGCGCAGAGAGCTGGAAGAGTCGCACGCAGCAGCCCAACCCTGAGTTAATCAAACTAGCAACAGGATCTCAAGCGGCAGCGACGGCGGTGGCAAGAGTAGCAGCAGCGGCGGCGGCGGCATTATGCGTGGTTACTGACAGGCACCAGCTGCTGCCGCCACAGCCGGCTCCGACGCACTATGTGGACTCTCAGATCGAGAGGCAGATTCCTGACTAATCCCAGAGGGCTGGGCCAGCCCCAGCTCCCCCGGCTGCGAGGAAGCGATGACCACTCTTGTTAGCCCAAGTTGAAGGGAGCCCGGCCGCGCCTGGGAGCCGGGAGAGGCCGTGCTATTTAGAAGACGCATGAGAACGGACTATGAACTGAAGAGTAAACATGTATGGCAATTATTCTCACTTCATGAAGTTTCCCACAGGCTTTGGCGGTAAGTATGTCACTTGGGCTTCCCTGTGTGGACCTGTCTGGAGAGACGGAGGGGAGGTGGGGAAATAGGGATAACCGGATTAGTACCGAATTAGAAGAAAGGTGTAGGTGTTTATATGCACATACAGTGTGTTTTCGTGTGAACGTGTGTGTGCGCGCGTGCATGAGAGAGAGGAAGAGGGGGAGAAAGAGAGGTAGAGAGAGAGAGGGAGAATGGTCCGTAGGTGAGGCTATGTGCATATCAGAGCGAGCGAACAGATGAGAGGAGATGTGGATATTCTAAGGAGGGTGTCTAATCAACATGCTTGAGAATATATCTGAGACAAAGATAGAATAAGAGCATTGTTATCAGCAGTGTGTTTGCGTGGGTGTGAAAAGTGGGAGAGTTGAAGGGAAATTACTATGATGTGCCTATGATCCAACTTGCAATGAGAAGAAATGTGATTAAGAGGTTTCACCAATATACTAAGGGTCCCTGGGATACTTCATGACTACGGCGTGATGGTTTTATTTAAAAGCAGATTTCCCTGTAATTGGATTTTTAAAAAGAAAACATAGCACTTTAATTTGCCACCGTGTTTTCCTTCCTCTGTTTTCTTCCTTTTTGATTTGCTAATAGCCTCTTGTCCCCTCCCCTGACGCTGGTGCCCCCAATTCCCTTGCAAGGGTCTCTGCTATCATTTGCTCTCCAAGGGTCAGGATCTCGGGATCTAGGTGTGGGGGGTCTGGGCTCTTAGAAAAGCGCAGACTCAAGATCCGAGTCGCCAAGCCAGGAAAGGCAGCCTGGTCACACTTCACGGGGCTGCCTTGATGCCCAGGCGTATGTGACCCAAGGCTCCCCGGATTCAGTGACAGAAGCAGCAGTCGCCCAGCTCTGAGTAAATGGAACCAACAGCTGACCAACTGGCCTCTCACTTGTCAGTTGGTGGCACGTAGACCGTGTTCTTGGGAGCCAAAGTGGAGCTTTTGCCCTGCGGATGCTGGCAGGCAGGACAAAGCAGAAATCCTTGTTAGTTCTTGAGAACTGAAAAGTCCCTGATCTCCTGACCTCCTCCTGTGTGGACAGATAGGCAATTCATCTGAAGGCTTGGGAGTAAAGCTTGCCTACTTCCCTGGGCAGAACCCTCTATGAGGCACGTGGGGACATTGCAAGGTGGCTGCGGTCCCTGCCTGGGAGGCGTCGGGCCAGGGGGCTTGCTCATCCGTTCAGGTGCACCAGGTGCACCTGAGCCAAGCATGGTGTTAGACGCTGGGAATATAGCTGTGAATGAGACAGTCTCTGCTGCTTGGACCAGGGTAGACTTATCACACAGACGCATTGTAGTGCTGCGTGGTGTGTGCCGTATCAGATGTACAAGGAGGTTATTGCTTGGCGACACAGACTGGAGGGCCATGACGCGTTCCTCAAAGAGGCAATGTTTAAGTTAGTGGGTCCAGTCTTGTGACATGACCCAGTGAGAGTGGTGGCCAAGGCTGTGACCTGGACATCTGATCTCCAGTTTATAGTTGGGTCCTGGGTGTGAAAAGCCTTCCCAGCTCCCGTCTTGGTCCCATTCACAGCTTGGAAGCGCTTTTTTCTGTTCCCTCTGAGTTCAGTTTTCTGAACAAGATTCTCGTTCCATGAGATTCTCGGGACCCCTGAGGTCTGTGAGGTTACGGCTTCATGAATGTCAAGGAGACCCTCTGTGGCAGTTGGGGTGAAGAAAAGGGTTGAAGGCAGAAGGATTTAGAGAGAGAGCCAAGACGAAGACCGGAGAAAGAAGGTCTAGTCCAAAATTCAACGGAGGCTGCCCACTGGAATCTTGAAACGCTAGCGTCAGAGAGCTCAAGGAGCATCTTAGACGTCTCATTTATAGATGTGTAAACTGAGGCCTCGAGGAAGGCAGGGACTAGTCTAAGTTTATGTGGGGTTGAGTGGGAAAGCCCTTCCAGAAAATCCCCTGACTCAAACTTATCACAATATTCCTTCAGTCTGATAGAGTGAAAAAAGCATGAAAGACAGAGAGACAGAGAGAGAAAACTCAGTTGGGTTCCTAGATTTCACTTAGCTGTGTGACCTTGGGCAAGGTATGGAACCTCTCTGAGCCTCAGTGTGTTCATCTCTAAAATGGGGCTTATAATCCCATTGTGAGTACTATTGTGAGAATTAAATGCACTAGTACATGAAAAAGCAGCTACTATGATGTTGCCCATATATTTGGTACTTACCCCTCCATTTTGCTCCAGTACTAACATGCAAATTAATTTAAAAGTCAAACATTGCTATAGAATTAGGAATTTGGTGAAATAAAATTAAATCCACAACGACCCACATATGTTGCTGGTTCAGATTTTCATAATTGTGGGAGCTCTGATACTTAGTATAATTAGGTTTCAGATAAAAGGAAATACACAGTGCAGTGTGGAAGAAAGGGGGTTGCCACAACATGGGGAGTGGGAGGGTAGGGTCATCTAGGTTGTTTAAATGACTCCCTCTACTGCTGCTTTTCCTTGTCATTCCTGAGGGAGGAGAACAATTATTTTGATTAGTTCTGTTGATTTTTTCCATTTTGTCTGCGTGCACCAGTTAAGTGGCTGCTGAAACACTGGCCCAAGGGACACAGCCCCCATCTGCAGGGAGGTCTGTCTGAGCACTTGCAGTGAGGAGGGAGGGAAGGAGGGAGTGAGGCAGGACTCGCCCACAGGTACAGGGGAAACCTGAAGATTGGAGCGGGTGTCACCTGCAGCCTCTCCCCACCTTTGCCCCAATGCAGTGAGTTGCGCCGCACACATTAAATGACTTGGTGTATACCCTCCGCCCTTTTATATATTAGCAAATGGAGCCACAGGGGTCTCCTGTGGTTTGTGTGAGGCTCTCTAGGGAAGTAGTGTCACCCTTGGGAGGTAACACCTGGGATTTGTGTCTGGGGCTGTGTGTACCAGATGTCAGACTCTCATCCGATCATTGAACCAGAGACTGGTCCAACTGGCTGAAGGGTGGTGACTACCTGGGCACCCACAAAGGTGCCCACTCTCCAACCTCCGGGCCCTGCCACGTGATGAGGACAGAACTCTTCTCTTCTCCTTCCCTGCCAAGTCCTGGCTTTGCCAGCTGCTCAGTAAGAGATTTGCCTGGATGAGACAGTTGCTGCCTCTAAGAAGATGGCAAAACAAAGCCTGTAATCCCCCCATCCAATTGTGCAGTAATCCTCAGGGTGAGAAGGAGATCAGGGAGAGGGGATGGCTTTCGTTTTGGCTAACAAGCGCGCTGTAGCTCTTGCTAAGAGCAGCTACCGCTGCAAGCACTTTACCACTAGCAACTTATTTAATCGTCATGACAACCTTTTGAGTAGGTACAGTTACCATCAGCATCATACTCCTGTTGTAGATGAGGAAACTGAGGTATTGTGAGGTGGAGTAACTTCTTTAAGATCCCATGGCTAGAAAATGGCACAGCCAAGGATTGGAACCCAGGTAGTCTGGCTCCAGACTCGATGCTCTAATGAGCTGCTTCTCACAGCTTCTGGGGGCCTCAGACTTGCTCTGGGAAGCCTTGAGCAGGTGAGGAGCCCTAATCCAGCCTCAGCACTGCTCAGGGGTTGCACACACAATGGACTGGCCATTGAGGAATAAAACACAGGGTAGCTTAGCAGTCACTCAGGAGCAATAGTGACCTCTGGAGAATTAATTGGTGGCTTCTCCTGGGGGCCTAGTGATTTGCAAGGGTCCTGCCCAACTGACCCTGACCATTTGTGTAGCATACTCTGCTTTTCACCTAAGAAAAGCCATAGAGGAGGGGTTGAGTTGGAGGTACTTGTGTGTGTGCGCATGTGCGTGTGTGTGCATGTGTGTTTGTATGGGGGGTAATATGAGAATGCGGGAGGAGGGTGTGTGTGTGTATGTGTGTGTGTTTGTGTGTATGTGTATTTTTATGCCAGAACATAATTTTCCCCTCCACAGATGTGTGGGTGGCTAACGGGCCTATCATGGGCGTAAGTGGTTAGGGTTTATGTAGGAAGGAGTAATTGTTTATGAGATTTAGGAAGGAATATATTTAGTATAAACTATTTTTTGAAACATTTACAATCTTACCAAGAGATAGAGAGCTGAATAGCAAGTCGGGGAAGAAATTGTGCAAAGAGTAATCTAAATTCCCCACCTCTTCCTTCCTCTCATTATGTAGCTTCTGGGTCTGCCGAGAACTTAGCCACCAGAACTGGGTGGCTGGAATGCCAGGGGCTTCCAGAGGAAGCTGCTATTTTTCTCATCTTATTTAACAGTAGAAGATATGGAGGTCCAGGGAATGTACGAAGTTTATTTTCTAGAATGGCTGGGTTTTGCTGGCTCTCATGAGATTGACCAGGTCCTGACTCAGTGATCTTCACAAAAGAAAGAAAATAATAGCTAACATTTACTAGGACCTACTATGTGCCAAATCCCCTTCCAAGGGCGTTACGTGCAGCATCTCATTGAATATTCTCAAGGACTGTAGGAGACAAGGAAGTATTATTGTTACCACCCCAATTTTACAGACAGGAATGTCGAGCCACAGGGAGGGTGGGTATCCTGCCCAAGATCCCCCAGCTCGCAAGGAGCAAACCCAGGATCCAAATCCAGGCAGAGGCCAGGGCTGCTGTGCTTAAGCCCGACACTGTGCTTGCTGCTTGCTGGGGGCAAAGGGTGGGGACGAGGTGGGGTGTGGGGATGGAATCCCAGATCTGCCTCAAATGGGTGAATTATGTGAAACAAGAGCAACTAATATATTCAGTTCTTACTCTGTGCTCTTCACAACTTACTTAGGGCTCATAATGCATTTTTTCTTTTGAGCATGCATAATGACAGCAAATGAGTACAGTGACTGGGGTAGGGGGCAGGGGACTGAGCTCTCAAAGGTGTTGCTACAACAAAGGCCAAAATTTTTCCAGGTGGACCCCGCTTTCTTCTAACGCATTCTAGGGCAAGCATCAGCGGACTTTTCCTCTTAAGAGCCGGATAATAAACGGTTTAGTCTTTGCTGGCCAT